TCCTTGGAAATTGCACTGTTCTCTCCATACTTGTTTCGAGAGTTGTGGGGTGGGCAGTTAGACAGACAGGAGCAGAGCAAGGGCGATGGGCCAGGCACAGAAGGTCTCCGGGGTGGAAAGCCCCAGGTGCCCAGCAAAGGATAGTCACCCCCAGGGTGACCTTTCCTCCCCGAGCATATCGCTGGTCATGAGGTTTGGACCCCCTGACCTTTCCTCCCTAGAGATAACATCTAGGCCTCAGTTATATTTCAGCTCCAGACCCAGAAAAGCAACAAAACCAGGTAAGTGACCCCACAGCTGACCTCAGGATCAGCTACACTGTATAATGACCCCCTGGCCTGGTGCCAACCAATCAATCAGTGGAGACCTAGACCCTGAAAGGACACACTGCAAAGCCGCGGAATATTCTAGTGAGATCTTCCCCTGGCACCGCCCTTAAAATCTCCACTGTTAAAACCCTTAGGACTGAGTGCCCAGAGCGCTCTCCCTCCCTGGAGCACACTGGAGCCTTTCCCTTCTCCCTCTCTCCCCGCACTTCCTCACTCCCTTTGCCTCTATACTTGTTTCCTAAATCCATTTCTTCTATGAGTTCCTTCTACCTCTGTGATTTTATAAATAAATATTCTCTCGTAGATTGAGTCTTGGCTCTGAATTCTTCCTTAGCCTGAACTCAAGTACCAAGGTTGCTGAACCCAGGTCCAGTCTGACCTCACGGTCTCAAGTCTGGTGCCCCTTCAGCTGCCTACCACAGTTCCAGGAAATCCTGGACCAGGGTCGCCAGAGTTCCTTCCTTAAAGAATAGGGGCGCAGTCTTGCCCCTGCTTGTCGGAGCTGAGTCCTGTGTCCTCATCCTCACTTTTGTCCTCCATGAAAGGGTCTTACGAATGCACGTCATTGCCTGCCTTGGGCAGCGTGACAAGTCACAGCTCCCACAAGCCAGCCGGTTTGCTGAAGTGATACAGAGCGTGAGTACCGTCTAGCCCTGGATCCCAGCCCCAGGATGCTCTGTCTTCAGACTTACTTTTCGTCAGGCCTACCAATTTAGCACTATTAGTCATTCCTCCGAAGCAGAAGCAAAACTCCACTCCTTCGATCATTTGAGTTGCTTTTCTCTGCTCTCATTCTAATTTGTTTCTGCATTCCTGGAACAGAGGTAGCCATCCCTTAACACGGAGTGAGTTATAACTTGTTACTGAAATGATTCTGCCAAAGGATTAAAAATGAATTTTACTAAATCATATTTTTTAAGACATGGAAACGCTAGAAGTCCTCTCCTTGAAGAAAACATTAATTTAGTGCTGCCTGGCTCAGTTTTGCTACAGCCGGAAGGAAGCAACACTTTGCCAGTGAAGAAACTATCTCTAGGCAGGCTAATCGCTCTGTCTATTCACTCATTCTATATTTATTGAGCACCTACTGTGTGCAAGGTGCCATCAGGCGCCAGGAATACCAAAATGAGTACAACAGACATTTTCCCCTCAAAAAGTAGGGAAGACAGTAAGTGAAATAATGGAAAATTACCATAAAGAGAAGCGAGCATTTGTGCAAAGTGCCATGAGGAGACTGAAGGAGCAAGTCCTCACGTTGGCCCCTCACAAGGGAGGGGTCAGCAGAGATGTGGGTGGGGAGGATGCAGGGTGTGGCCCTGCTCTCTCATCATTGCAGCTAAAACAGCTGCCAGAGGCCCAGGCCTCTAATATAACTCTGTGATGTTTTCAACTCCATTGCTGGACACAAATCATTCATCTGTGTGCGGTGAAGGAGCTTCAAGGACACAGGGAAAGGACAAATGGAAATGAAATGAAAAGAAATAGCCTTAGATTGCCGTCAAGGAGAGAAAGCTATGCCAGGGAATACATCCAAATTACAGCTGCTCCGTGGCACACGGGATCAGTCATCCTTAGAAAGCAGGAGGCCCACCAGATTTGCTCTTGCACACGTAGTGCACAGGGCTTCATTTGCACACGTACCAGGCCCTGGGTTAGGCTTTCTGGAAGTGGCAGTGGTGTTACCGATGCCTGTCAATGCGGGGTCAGGATAAACGTTTTGCCCGTGTCAGAGCGGAGTAGGCCTAAAGTCCCCCGAGGCAGCCAGTGTCTGTACTAGCCCCTGGGATCTGGCCAAGTGGGGAGTGAGAAGAGCTGAGTTTGACATTAGCCTCTGCCACCACCCAGCTGTGTCACCTCGATGAGTTCGTTCACCTTTCTGCAGCTCAGTGTTCTGATCTATAAGGTGGGGATAGCCATCCTTCCTATCTCTGCTCACTGCTCAGCCGGGCACATCAGAAGGTAGACAGTACATTCAGTTGGGTAAGGAAAGGCGAGGCTCATTGCTTAGCAGCACAATTAATGCATCTATAACATTGTTGGTAGGTTATTCACAACTTTAGAAAGAACCTCCTTTTTCCTTCTACCTCTTAAGACCATTTTATTCTTCCTCCTGCCTCCTCCATGCCAGGCTCTGGGGGTAGCCCTTCTGGGGTGGAATTCCTTCTCCACCCGTTCGTTCGGCCTCCATCACGCTGGTCCCAGGGAGTGCCCTCCAGACCTGGACTCAGCTCCATTAGCCACAAGGGCGCCTGAGACTCACCCTGATCTTGTCTTTGCATCAGGCTTCGTGAACATGAACTGCATATGAATTTTCTGTCTTGTGCTGGATGAAAAATGATTTGATTTATTGAAATACCAGCTCCAAGTGAGTGGACTAGACACCCCTGGGGTCTGCTGGTCAGAAAGTCTGACTTGAGGCCTGGCTGGTGGGGCTCTGTTGGTTGAGTGTCATCCCATGTACAACAGTCACCAGTGCGATTCGGTTTGATTCCTGGTCAGGGCACATGCCCGGATTTTGGGCTCCATCCTCAGTAGAGGGTGTGCAGGGGGCACCTGATTGATATTTCTCTCTCTTCCTCTCTCTCTAAAAATCAATAAAAATATATTTTTTTAAAAAGAAAGTGGGACTTAACCTGGGGCTCCTTTGCAAAGAGAGACACAGGAAGAGCCCTGTGGCGGAAGCCTTGTCATTGACAAGTCACTTCTCCCCCTCTCTGGGCCTCTGGGCCCCTCTTGTAAAATGCAAGTTGGCCGGGTGATTCCTACGCCCTCTAGCCAAGACTTCAGTGATTCTATGATGACCTCCATGTGTGGACATTTAAATCAACAAAGTGTTCAAATGTGTTCTTGTCTAAACCTATGCATGAGTCACACAGGCAGCTCCAAGGACCTGGGCTCTGATCAGTCCATTTTGGGGGTGTGCTCACCTGCCTCTGCAGTGTCCTGAATCGCTGTGAGAAGCGGCTCCATGAGGCTTGACCTGGGCAGACTCAACGTCTACACTTGACATTACATAGACGACAGGCAGGCCTCTCTTTGGATGGGGCGTGCATGATCTCAGGGTTCTGTATGCGGAAAGTCTGTACGTGAACTAGACTTTCCAGGGAATCCCATTTCACAGACACCTCCCTGATTATTACGCCACTTCTTTCATCAGCCTGTCTCAGACACCCACGGCTTCTCACAGCGCCTCTCTGAGGGAAACCGACCGCCACGTTAAAGGCTCCAGAAGCAGAGTGACTTGATGGTGATTTCAAAGAAACCCCCAAGGGGCTTGCTCTGAGAGTCCCATAAATTTCAGGCCACACAGGGGACAGCCAGCAATTCTCTTGCAGGGAGTGCTTATTAATCAAATTAGCCTCATCCTAGCCTGAGGGTCCTGTGGGTGACCCGCTCTTCCTGCTCTGCATGAGAATTTTCTGGTTTCAGCACTGAGAGTTCCCAAGAACCCCTCGGTCCTGGGCACACCAGGATAGCAGGTTGCTCTAGGACCCAGGTTTCTCAAAACTCAGTGTATGTGTGATGATTAAACCTGCCGATTTCTGAGGTGAGTGACTCTGGTCCAAATGTTTTCCTGACCACACCAAGGAATGCTGGTAAGAACTTATAAATCTACCAGCCCTGACATTTGGCATTTGGCTACCAGTGGTGCTTGAGCTCATCAACACATCAGAATCACCTGGAAACTTTTAAAAAATACTAATACTTGGATTTGATCCAAATCAATGAAATGAGAATATCTTGGGGTGCAGTCAGGGCTTTGGAGTTATATTTTGAAAGCCCCCTATCCCACTGGGAGAACTACGGTAAGTGGAGCAGACACAATGGCCATTGCCTCCCTCGGGATCCGCAGTGCCTAAAACCTCAGCTTCCACCTGGTGGCTACCATTTCCTCTCCTCTACCATTTCCTCTCCTGCTATAATACAGGAAACACACTTTGGAGTGCAAGATGGCAGTATCTGCTGAAATTGAAGACAATATTACTTCTAGGTATAAAACATAAAGAAACTTTCAGAAAAGTGGATAGGAGGTATGTACAAGAATGTTAATTGTAGATTCAATTGCAATGTCCATCAACCAGAGAATGGATGCATGAAGCGCGATGGTCTATTCACCCAACGGGATACTATACTGCAGTGAAAATGAGTGAATCCAAGAAACATATACCAACATTGGAACAAAGTGGCCATAAGATGTTTCTAAAGTTTGAGGCTACTGTGACCAACTTCTTGACTTGGAAGCTTTGCTTCGGCAGGCAGACTGTCTTGTAACTGAGGGTTCCTGGGCACACTTGTGACAGCAATAAAAAGGGCTGCACAGCAGAGAAGCCTCATGCCCGCTGCTAGAGCTCAGGTTGCTTGTTCTGAGGAAATAACTTCATAATCCTGTAAGAATTAAGTAGCCTTTTCCAATCTTAAACTATCTGCATTGCAATCAAGAAGTCACGTAGACATTTTAGAACTGGTTCCTGAGTTGCTCTTAAACAACTACACAGCCTAATGTTTCATCCTCATCCATCATCCATCATCCCTCCCACTGTCCACACAGAGCAATACATCCATTACAAATGCAGACGTGACCATGGGCCCGGGATCTCAAGGTGGCTCATCTTGTTTAGCTTTCCCAGGTTGCTGACACATGTATATTTTTAAAAAGCCTGCAGAGCTCACCTGGTCCAAGTTTGGCCACGGCGTAGAGGAGGTCGTAGTTGAGGACTGGTGTGGCATCGCTGATGGGCTGCCAGCCAACGGGAGGAGATGCGGGGGGTGAGATGAGAAACTGTTTGGCGGGCTGTGGTGGAGCCAAATGCAGTTTGTCTCCGTCTGTTTCTGGAGTCTGAACCTTTCAAACAGAGTAGAAATGAAGACACATGATTCAGTATGGCTCAGAGGTGCCACACTGGTCTCACTTTTAGCTTAATAATTACTCCTTACCACACACAATGTGCTCAATCATCTTATCTCACCCTTAAAATAGCGGATCTCAACCTTTACTGTGCATCGGAATTACCGGGAAAGCTTACTAAAATATGCATTTCGGAGTCCTGGAGATTCTTCTTGCCTCTTTCCTTCTTCCTTTTAATTGAGGTGAAATTCATATAATATGAAATTAACCATTTTGAAGTAAACAATTCAGTGGCATTCAGTATATTCCCAATGTTTGCAACCACCACTTCTATCTCTCGAAAAAAAATAAATCTTCATCACCACAGAGGAAAACCTAAACCTAGACCCAATAAACAGTTGCTGCCATTTCTGTCTCCAGTCAGAGTGTGGCAAGCACCAATATGACTTCTACCTCTGTGGCTTTACCTATTCTGACCGTTACGTATAAATGGAATAATGTGACCTTTTGTGCCTGGCTTCTTTCATTAAGCATATGTTTTAAAAGTTCATCTGTGTGTAGCATGTATCATTATCTCATTCATTTTTATGGTTGAATAATATCCCACTGAATGAATAGACCACAATTTGTTTACCTGTTCACTTAATGATGCACATTTGGGTTGTTCCTACTTTTTGGCTAATGCTGCTATGAACATATGTGTACATGCATTTATTTGAGACCAATTTTCAATATTTTTCTATATATACCTAGCAGAGGAATTGCTGGGTCAGATGGTAACTGTATGTTTAACTTTTTGAAGAAACAAGTGGGGTTTTGACAGATGGAGAAACTGAGGTTTCTACAAGTCATACATGTTATTAGCAGTGTGGGATTTGAGCATGGGTCTGAGGCCAAACTCTAAGTCCTTTTTTTTTGGTTTTTATTTTATTTTATTGTAAGAACACTTAACATGAGATCTAACCTCTTAACGAATTTCTAACTGGCTATTTTCAAAACACAAAAGACAACAAGTATTAGAAAGAAATCTTTATACGCTGTTGGTGATTCCTCAAAAAATTAAAAATAGAACCACAATATGGTCCAGAAATTCTACTTCTGGGTATTTATCCGAAAGAATTAAAGTTAGGCTCTTGAAAAGATATTAGCGCTCCCCATGTTGATTGCCACACTATTCACAATAGCCAAGACATGGAAACCACATAAATGTCCTTTGACAGATGAATGGAGAAAGGAAATGTGGTATATACATAACACGGAATACTCTTCAGCCCTGAAAACTAAGCGAAGTATTTTCTTTTCACGGTACCATCTTTTAGAGTCCAATGTTGGAAACAATGTTTACTGACCAATAAGAGATGGATCAAGATTATCTACTGATGGACATTGGTTTTGTATTGCAAGGACACTGTGTGCATTGCCAAGAATTACTCATCTATTTTTGGAAGAGTCAGAATTTACTTTGGGTTAAATAAAACACAAAACTAATTTCCATATGTTTGTAAACTTTTATTATGAATGTGAATCACTGAAAAGGTATATAGTCCACTAAAAGTCATATAACTTAAGTTTTAAATATAATCTTGCCAGGAAGATTAGGAGTAGTTGTGATTAGAGCATTCTTTACAACTATTACTTGGCATTTATTATGCATTTACCAAATTTTAGGCACTTCTATACCCAATAATTCATTTAATTCTATAACAGCACTATGGATTATATCATCACCCCCACTTATAGCTGAGGAAACGGAGACACAGTCAGGTTATGTAACTTATGCAGGTTAAAGCCCAGCTGTCAGTCCTCAGAGCTCGATTCTGAACCTCTATGCTGCCCTGTCACACAGGTTTAGTTCTCAGTGGACTAAGTATAGACTACAAACCAATGTGAAAGTAGAAAAGAGCTCCATTTACATTTTGAAAAAGGCAGACAATAATGTAAGGCAAAAGGGTTACTTTTGGTAAGAATTACCTGTGCAAAGTAGAGTTTTAATTTTTTCCCTCTGAACTGGGTTTCATGAAGCTCTATCCTGGCTCGGGCTGCAGATTTGGGATTGCTGAAGTTTATTCGGACACGTCGGAAACTCTTAAATAGCTGGAACGTCACGCAGTCATCATAAGTCCGGAACAGACCCTCGAATTTTTCCTGATCGAAACAAACACAGAGAAACATCCATTGGTCATGTATCTTCCATGATGCCTGAGCTGACAAAAACAAATAGCCAAGTAAATGAACAGGCTGTTCCCAGCATAAAATTCAAACAGATCACTGGCCATGTTGTTTTTGTTTGTTTTCATCTGTTGGTCTATTACCAGGGGCTAAACACACCTGTGGATTCAGTCAAAGGATCCATAACCTGGCTCCAGGGATCCGGAGAATATAAGTGAATGGGGTTTAAAGTGCATGAAAAACCTGAAAATTATGCAAAATATGTAGTAAGTTTCTGTGCACTTGTGTTTCTTCCTCGAGCGAGAGATCAGAGCTGCCCTAAGATTCTCAAAGAAGTCCATTATCTCCAAAATATTAGAGCTACTGAGTAAAGTATGTGGCAGACATTGGTAGTGATTATTGATCTTGGTGGCATTTTTCTTGCCTAAAGATATGGTAGCCCACACTCCCCAAACTCTCCTAGTGCCATGTGATTAGCCCTGATCAATAAAATGTATGCAGAAGGCAAGAAAAAAAGCTCTTGAGAAAATTTCCAGCCTCTGTCCTTGAAGATGGCATGTGCTCGGCAGTCAGAAGCAGACTCGCCTCAGCCTGGATCCCTGAGCGTCTGTGTGGAGTACAAACATCTTTCTCCCCTCTCTCACCCCATCCTGTAGATGACTGTCTTGACAAGGAAAAAATAGGCCCTCTATTGCACTAAACCACTGAGATTTTGGGATAATTTTATTCCCACAGCATAACCAAGCCTATCACAATATAAAGCAATCATTTAAGTTTTTTGATTCAATGCCATTTTCAATTCAATTGAACAAATCTCTATTAAATGCTCACTTTGTAAAATGCATGGTCTCTACAGAATACAGAGATGAGTATCATTTTGTTTCAACTCACAATGATCTAACAATCTAATGTGAAAGGCAGACATAGACACAAATAAGAGAATGCCCAAATGATTAGGAAAAGACTTAGAGAACTAAAAAATTTACATATTAATGCCATCTGTCTGACTCCTCTTAGCTTTAAAAATATCCTTATTATAAGTAACAAAAACAGTGCAGGTTAAATTACTGTTTTTCCATTAGTGAGTGTTCTTAATGGAGAAATTGACACTAAGGAAATAACTTCTATTAAAAAAAAATCCAGATTCTTGCCCAACCAGTGTTGCTCAGTGGTTGAGCATCGACCTATGAACCAGGAAGTCATAGTTCGATTCCTGGTCAGGGCATATGCCCGGGTTGCAGGCTCTATACCCAGTGTGGGGCATTCAGGAGGCAGCTGATCAATGATTCTCTCTCATCATTGATGTTTTTTTTTCTCTCTCCCTCCCTCCCTTCCTCCCTCCCTGCCTCCTTCCCTCCCTCCCTCTCTCTTCCTCTTTGAAATCAATAAAAATGTATTTTTAAAAATCCTGATTCTTTTATTTCTATAATAAAAGGTATATTGTCATAAGAGTGAGTACAAGTGGGAATAGAGATGCACAAAAGATTAATACTGTAAGATTCATTGAATTTTGATTTGAAACAGACCTAATGGATAATTAACTCAACTTTTCCCTCACCACCTCTATCAATTTACCAATCAGGACCCTGAGGTCTGAAGAGATCAAGACTTGCCCATGGTCACATGGCCAGTTAGTGGCAGAGCCATGACTGGTCAAAGTCCTTGTGACCCTGAATATAGAGATGCTTTCAACTATGGAAAAAATTACACTGCTAGATTTAAAGGAAGAGATAACTGCTTTAATGGGAACAAGAGCTGGACAGCAATACACTGACCCAAGGCTCATGCGTGACCTTGTCTAAGAGGAGCATCAATGTGGGGTTGTAAAATCACTGACTCTGAGGTTGCCACGTCAGAGAAGAACTTCTTGGGCATCCAAGAACTTGTCTCAGACCCTCAAGTCCCTGGCTTGTGATCCTTTCAAATGCTGTTGCCCATTTCTGAGATTCCCCAGGGCGTGGCAATCTATAATCCCCCGTTTTAATTCTTATGTCTGCACACTTTTTCTTTATATCACATCTATTCAGTCCAGAACCCCAAAGAATACACTCAAAGCAAGTTTTTTGTTTGTTTGTTTGTTTCATGACATGCATGGAATTTGAGGAGTTCTTTCTCCCCTTTTCAGGCTCTGTTCTTATTCCCCTTTCCCTTTCAAGGGCAAAACAACATTCCTTCTTGTTTATTCCTTGGCAGTTTTTCCCCTCATCTCTCAGGCCTTCGGATCAGCCAACTCCCAGGCCTGAGGCCTGAGCTACCACCCCAAAGGGGCTCATTAAGGGATCTTTCCCATAATCCTGTGTTTTCCTGAACAGAAATCCTGGGAATGCATTGCTTTCTGGTCCATAATAATGACAGTCTTCTCAACTGGTCAAATCATAGATGGTGGTTTGATTAATTTGGGGAATTTTTAAAATAGAGGGAATTAAGAGATTAAAAATACGTATTGCTATATAGAGAATCATCTTTTCTAGGACAAAATCCTTGGGTCATCCTGTGGCTCTATTTTTCCATTTCCAGTTTGGGAGTTCCCCTCCCTATCCTACCCCAAGGTCTCAACATCAACAGTAAGATTATGATAAGATGGAGGTGGGAGCAGGTGCTCATTTCCTTTGAGTCTAACTCACTGCTTTTCATTCTATATTTCTTCACAATGCCTCCCATCTCAGTTATTGAGCTGTTTGGCCTCAAGGGCCTGGCTGGATTAGGAGAAAGGAACCAAGGAGTCCTGGCCCTGGGCTCAGGGAGGGGTGACAATGGCCGAGGTGCTTCCCCTGTTGGGAGGCCTTGGCAGATGTCAATGTGGTTGCACTTCCTTCTCCACTGCTCCTCACCAAAGGCCTTCAGGCAGCTACTCCCATCAAGCTGGAGTTGGCAAATGACAGAAACCTCTTTGACATCCCTTGTCTGGGGCTTAGGCCCTTTCATCAAACCTGGTGTGCTGCCCAGAGCTCAGCAGCCAGGGTTTTCATTCGACCATCTGGGGCCCACCCTCTACAATGATAAAAATAATAAACAAATAGCATTTCCTTGACCTGTCCTCTCTGCACAAGTCTTTTGGGAATATGTAGGGACAAACGGCAGAGGGAGGGAGGGAGGGAGTGAAACCTGGCCAAGAATTAGGGACTTGCTGGCCATCTCTATTTTTTTCCATTAGTGACATGACAAACATTTCATTTGCTCAGGCAATATGATACCAGACCAAATTGGTTAGAGGCAGATCTAGCACAGTGAACCCGCCAGGCCCTTAGGCAAAACAGGGACAAGAACAAAGCCAGCCGCAGGGTTCCTCCACCTGCCCTTCTAGCACATCTTCTGTGGTTTTAATGTTCAGGTTCCCATCAGGCACATAGCCATATTTTGCTGTCCACTGGCTGCTAATTTCCTCCAGTCTGGTACCCCACAAACCCAATAAATTCCTCATTTCCTTCTTATTTTCCTTTGTAGCCACTAGTTAAAATAAAGTTCTACAGCAGCGATCTCAAACTTTGGTCTCAGGACCTTGCTATCCTCTTAAAAATTATGGGGGATCCCTAAAGGACTTTTGTAAATGTGGGTTTCATCTATCAATGTTTACTGCACTAGAAATTAAAATGGAGAAATTAAGAAATTTTTATTTATAAATTCATTATATGTTAAAATAATACTTTATAAAAAAAATTACCTTTTCCAAAACAAGAAAAAGGCAGTAAGAAGATTGGCATTGTTTTACCTTTTTGCAAATTTCTATAATTTCTAACTTAATAAAAGATACCTGGAATCTCAGGCCTGCTTCTCTGTATTTGATCAGTTAACACTGTGCTGCTTTGTCTCCAGGGTATGAAGAAAAGCTGGCCTCACTCAATTATGCAGTTGGAAAAGAGAGGAGGATTTTAATAGCCTTTCAATGAATTTCGAATATTCTTCCTTGATACATCATTAATTTAATATATTTTATTGATTTTTTACAGAGAGGAAGGGAGAGGATAGAGAGAAACATTATTAAAACTCGACAAGTGGCAGCTGCTTAATGGGTATTATAATGTTGAATCTGTTTTCTTTGATTATATTAAAATCCATTTATCCATTTTGCATCTTTCATGGATTTTTTTACCTGCACATGTTCTGTAAGAGTGTGCATTGGTCATTCAGAAAATATTGGTTCCCGAGTTACGCAGCTTTTCCAAATGTCAACGCCTGTCATTGCACAATATCAAAAATGCCATTCATTAATATTACCACCTGTCTTATCAAAGTTGTCAGATTCATGCTGGCGGATACAAATTTTCCAAAATTCTAGCTTTTGCTTGAAAGTTTATTCTTTATCATTGGCAACAACCATTGTTGTTTATTTTTCTTGAAGTAACATGCTCACTCATTCATTTTTGAGAAAATGGCTGCCAAATATGGAGGTCTGCATAACTGTCATTTGCCTGTTAGTTATCTTTTCAAGTCAACAATTTGTTCCATGAGAAAAATACCTGCCCAATTCAGCTTCAGACAGCTTAGACTGTTGCCTCAAGCTAAGCATTGTGTTTTGGTTGCTACAGAGTGCTTTATGTGTACTCTCCATATTGTTATTCGGATTACTAAAAAGGCTCAAGGGTAGAGTTAATAAAATTATTAATTTGTACTGTTTCATCAAGGATGGTTTTATGAAAAACTGGTATTTTGCTTCTTACTTTTCTTTTCCTTTTTCTAAATTTAAACCATGAGTGTGTGGCTGTGAAGAGTACAAATACCACCAGTACAGTTTGATGCCACTGCATTGATTCATACCCTAAAGACAGTCACTTTTGCACCAGGGGTGTGAATGTCAACACAGTTGAAAAGGAAAATGTGTTAGTATTATTATGAAGATAATTTTGACCTCAAAGGAAATGGTCTTGGGAATTCCGGGAAGTCGGTAGACCACCCTCTGAGAACTGCTATGCAATAGATTATCAGAGAGAGTAAGAATTTGGTTGTACCCTGGGTTGAAGACAAGAGGACTAGTGAGA